CCTATGGGGAAATTTGCGTCAGGTTACGACCAACTTGGGATACGCCCAGAGTCACAGAACGGATTAAGTTCGTATCCCGAGGTACCACTATTTCTGAAACACTTTCAATTAGTTATTTTACTAACTTTAATCTTCAAAGGTCCATTTGCCAAAAACATAAGGCTTTTATAAACATACCCCTTTCTCCTCCAGATGCCGTAGTCTTGTTTCTACTTTCAGTCTGTTCTCAGCTCCCATCTCAGCACTTGTGCTCTCTCCAAGGGCATCATAACGAATAGTCAAAGCTGTTTTAGCTGCTAGCATTCGTGAAATCTGTAAAGAAAATATGTGAAAAATATCTGGTACGGTCACAGCTTATCCCATAGATGAGGATGCCCACAAACTTGTCAAGCTGAGGACCAGGCTGCATAGCACTGATGTAGCTGAGAAAACTAGGACCCCAGAACAGATGAATCTTCCTACAATCAGCCAAGACTTAGGTAAGCTGAATGCCCATGGCAGAGAACGTTTAACCATGTTTGCTGGGACAAATACCTTTGCTCTGGTTCCTCACCCAAACTGACTAGGAAGAGGCAAGTTCAGGCAGCCCTCCTTCTTTGTTTAAATGAACATTTCCTGGGTATGATTTAATTGATAGATGGGGGCAGTGATTTTGTTTTATTCTTTCACATGAACACTGGATTAGATATAATACAAGAATCTATACTGTGGTCCATGGAACTGTTCAGAGCTGATTAATTAGAGCAGCAGCATTGTGTAAGATTTGGAATTACACTGGATTAAATTGATGAACAAAACCTCACTGAAAACCAAGCCAAACCTTAAGCATCCTTAGATACGTATCTTTCTCATATCCTGCCAAACGCTCTTGCCAATTTGTTTTTGTTTCAGAAACAAAAGCAAACAAAACAGAAACACAATCATTTCCAAGCATGTGATTGTCCAACATCTCACCTTTCCTTTATTTTTAGCTGTTGTTTGTCCTACGAGGGAAGCATGATAAATCAGACCAAACTTTGGAGTGTCACGCTTAGTCTTCAGTGCTCTAAAAAGTGCTTTCTCAGCTCCCAGAATTTGAACCGTTGATGCTGGATGCTTTGCTAGATTCAGCAGGGAACCTATCGCAGAAAAGATATAACAGAAGGTTGTACGAATAAGCAGTCTCTGAAATAGGCTCTCGACAAAACATTAAGTTCAAGGTTTGGAAGTTTCAAGCTTCATACATACTACCCTCTAAACTAACTGAAGAGCTCTAGGAAAATGGAGCAGAGGCATCATTGGGATGGGCATCACCATACAATTTCTGGGAACTGTAGGGACAATACTGAACCAAAGCTTGTCTGCCCCGTTACATTATTTGAAAATAACTTAAGTGCAGTATAAATCTGGGAGTGAGTGAGTGAGTGAGTGAGAAAAAGAGAATGGTTCAAGAAGTGTCTCAGAAGAGGTAGTGACTAGAGATGCCTTCACCTTCCAAGATGAAATCAAGCAAAGTTCAAATAATATCATCATTGTCAACTTCTTGATCCTGACACTGCAACTCCGTGCATTATCGTTTCTCATTTACTTCATCTCCAAGAGGACTATAATGCTGTCAAGTAAAGAAAAGGATGCTGCATACAGCCAACCCACAAACTCAGAATCTCAACATACCAGCATGGGCAATAAGCCTTGCTCCTACTAGTTCTCCCACCATAATGGTGAGGTTAGGTGCAATGGCCATCATTCTGTTTTTCAGATAGTCATAGAGTGTTGCTCGATATTCGGAGATCTCAATAACCTGAAAGACAAAATAGCAGAAAGTTCAGGCCATGGAATCTTGCCAAATTATGTTCCAATTATGATAACCAGCTACTCGCGATGGCATCAGAAGAGGTAGTGACTGTGCAACCGTCATAGTTTGTACATCAGGAAAGCATCATTACAGGAATCATCACTTGCCACCGAAAACTGATATAATTTGCCAACTTGGTTGCTTTTTTTAAAGAAAATATTATAACATGGTCAATTGTCAAACTGATTAAAAGCCAACCACAAGATTTTGGGGCAATTGTATCTTGATTAAATAAATTTGCTTACATATGTTTCCCTTTTGCTTTCTTCTTCATGTAAACCAATTAAACCATGACAGAGTTTGTGGTTTCACCAAAATTAAAAAAAAAATGGTTACCAGTCTTGGTACAAATCAGCATATTAAACTATCATTAACAAAGCTGGTAATCATCATTTCTAAAGAAGCTGTGGTTAAACAGATATTTTCTGAATTAATTAGGACATGAGATATAAAGGACTAAAAGGACTTTGACCATTTGTGGACAAATGTTTCTTCATGCCTGAGCTCATTAAGCCAAGACACGATCATCTAAACTGGATTAATCCACTCAGATTATAGAGCTTTAGATTTAAAACAGATTTAGTCCACTAAACAAAGTGGCACATAGATGTGTTAAATGGACTATATAGACTGAAAACCTTTTTGAACCAACCACTGATGCTACTGTTCATTTGCCGCTACATCATCACCTGATCACAAAGATGCTGTATATTGCATATATCTTCTTCTGACACTTCAGTCCCCATGGAGATCTCTGCAGCTGCTTTCACTTCCTCTTCCACCTCCTCAGGAAGAATCTCAGATAGATCAGAAGAGGAAAAGTTTATTCTGTCTCCTAGGGAGTAAAAGGATAAACAGCAAACAAAAATTAAGATTTAACCTAGCCACAAGTTTCTGTCATACAAGGTAAATATGAAAAGGAAATAGAAGAGCAAATGATGATTTTCACAGGTCTCTAGCAAGGAATTTCTGCTTAATAGTTTAAATGAGAATCTACACAGGTAAGACCAATTTTTCAATAACCAGTCTTGTTTTTCATTTCATCCTGCATACAGTGGGGCAAAAAAGTATTTAGTCAGCCAC